ATTGAGGGAAAATTGGATTGAAAAAGGCTTGAGAATAGAATTCGAAGTAGCTGAATTCTGGGTTATGAAGCAAGTTTGGCAGGGTGATTCTGGCTATCTAAGCTTAGGAAATTGAAAGGGGGATGACCCTCTATTTATAGGGAAGCAAATGGGATCAAAAGAAATAGAAAATGATGCGTTTTGGAGGGAATTCGTGTGGGTTTGCATCATGAAGAAAGTGTGACTCAAACTTGATCAAAACTCAGCCAAATCGTGTGTTTCATGATGCTAATCACTTATGGCAAGTTTCTAAACATGATTAGAAACAAAAACGCGTGGAAATCTTGTGATTAGAAGCCAAAAAAAATATTTCAAAATTCTGACTTTGTGCAAAATTCAGTTTCAAACTACCAAATTCAAATCCATGGCATTTCCACCTCAAGGGGTCTTAGGGCATAATTCTTGATGCTTTGGAAAGATGAGGTTACAAGCTTTGCAATGGAAAAATAATGGAATCAAATGGATGTCTGAGCTGAAAGTTACATGGAGTCAAAGTTGAAGAAAAAGAGTTGACTTTCCATACTTAGAAATATTTCAAATTCTTCTTTAAAAATGACCTATAATCTTTTGCATCCAAACACGGCCTTCCACCTAGAATTTGCTCTTGACCAAAAAAGGTGGAATGAAGTAGATCCCTTGAATGACATTTTGCAATTTGAACCACTCAAAATTTCCAAAAATTAAGCAAGTTATGACTTGTTGAATTTGGCCAAAAATCATGAAATGACCTATAATCTTTTGCATTCTTAAGGCAATTTCTATCCATTTTCTCACTTTGCACATAAAAGAAGGCATGAAGTACACATCTTTAAGATTATAATGAAAAAATAATAGGCTCAAGGTGATAAAAATTGACTAAGTTATGACTATTTAAAGTCACATATGGAAAATTGGGGATTCATCTGGGTGACTTGTAATCTTTCTTCTTCACCAAGTTCCTTCCACATGAAAACTCCTTGGAACTTTTGAAGTGATTTGTTGGTAACTCTTTTAAGAGAAGGATGTTTTTGGAATCACTCAAAAATACCAAAAGATGAGCAAGATATTCTCCTTTGAAGTCCAAAACCCCAGCCTCTAGATCAAGAGAATGCTTTGAGGAACTTTGTCAAGTTTGAACAAAATTTTTGTGTCAATATTCTTCCTTTGTGAATAGAAATTGTTGAGGAGGATGATGAGGACTCATGGCCACCAAAACCACTTCCATACCAATTCTTTCAAAACAACTTCAATGGTGAGGCCTGAATTTCTCAAACTATGTTGACTAGGGCATGGAAATAAACTCATGAACCTATGATGCAACTTGCTAAACCTCATTGCCTTTACCTACATTATTAACAAGTAAGACAAACCAATATTGCATTTTGTTAATTAGAGAGAAAATCAAAGCAAAATATCCATGATCACAAAAGAAAACAAGTTAAGGTGCTTGGTAACTCCTCAAAGAACAAAGCTAAAGATAGGTAGAAGAACCAAAAGCCCTAATATGATCTTGTTGTGATTGAAATAATATGGTATGATGAAGGAATCTTAGGGGCAAAAATTAGGGTACAACAATTATGTATGGGACAAAATACTTTTAAGAGAAATCACCACATATTTCGTCAAGTTTGAAGCCTAATTAGATGATATGTTCACTAAGTCTCTCAAGAAATATCGAGTGGATGATATTTGTAACTAGCTCGACTCATATAACATATATGGTTTTACTTGAGGAGGAGTGTTAAGAATCTGTTATGATCAATTAGAATTGATTAGTAATAATATTGTATTAATTGTATTGATTACATTCCCTTATTATGCACAACCCATATGATTATAAATATACACCCAGTGTGATCTCATTTGACACACAATATTATATAGAAAGTAAAACTCTAATATGTATCTTTAATATTCTTCAAAATTTGTTGCATCCAGATGTTTTGATAAGCACATCAGGCAACAACAACATACTTAACTTCAATAGTTGATAAAGATACTACGTGTTGCTTTTTAAATGCCCAAGCCACAACTCCACCACTTAGCACAAATACATATATAGCCCGAGATGCTCTTTCTATCATCTAAATCACCAGCGTATTCACTATTTGAGTATGCCATTAACTCAGTTGTACATCCTTTTTTTTATAAGAAAATACCAAAGTTTGCAGTATCTTAGAATTCGCTTAGCTGCTAGCATGTTTGTCTCCTATAGATTGGACATGAATATGCCTATGAGGCAAACTATACATTGTGTCTGACCTTATTATCATACATTATGTTTCCCACAATTCACGTCAACAAGATTTCATATGATTTTACTGCATTTTCCTCTTTTGACAACTTATTTTCAAGAACTATAAGATTTCCTACTCCTTTACAAATGTTCAACCCGAACTTCTCAAGTATTTCACTCGCATATCTCCTTTGGCTTATGTAGATGTTATTGACACCTTGATGCACTTCCACCCTTAAAAAGTATTTTATCTCTTTAAGATCAGTCATCTCAAATTAGATTTGCATTGAGCTTTTAAAATCTTGCATCATGAACAAATTCTTACTTGTAGAAATAAAATCATCAACATAGAGATTTACAATCAAAATTTTGTTGTCTTCACGTTTCTTAACAAATAAAGTGTGATCATCACAACTATTAGAGTTCACACTTCCATTGAAACATATATATATATATATATATATATATATATATATATATATATATATATATATATATATATATATATATATATATATATATATATATATATATAGAGAGAGAGAGAGAGAGAGAGAGAGTTTGTAACTAGCTTTCAATCTAAAATCAAAATTTTGTTACAAATGAAACTCACTTTAAGTTTAAATACTAACACCCAAATAAAATAAAAGTTAAATACAAAACCAAATGCAATAAAAGCTAAATACTAATTACAATGCTGAATTTGAATTACATTTAACAAGAACTTCTTTAAATCTCTCTTTGATGAAATAGCCTTCAGTCTTACTAAACCAAACTTTTGGACTTGTTTCAAACTGTAAAGAGCTTTGTTTAGTTTGTACACCTTATTCATATGCAAAATGCCAGTTTAATATATATGCAACTTTCCACATTAATTTGTATCACATGCAAAATGCAACTTGTTCTGCCACTTTTATTTTGAGGCTCTTTTATGAGTTTCCAAGAGATATTTTTGAGGTGAGAAAACGAAAGAACATTTATCTTAGACCATGAGATGAAAGCAAATAAAATAAATAACACGTGCTGAAATTCAACTACCTAAGCAAGACATTTCTTAAAAATTGAATTCAATGAGTGAATTGTAACAACTGGAAGTGGACTTGCCAACGCCACTAGCAGTTTATGTGGCACTACTTGTTTTCATTAAAGCAAACCAAACACACATATAAACCTCGTGCGTCTTTTTAACTCCTCACATTCCTTCATAAATTTTACAAGATAAACCTTCCACCTCTCTCTCTCTCTCTCACCTTTTGAAATATGAATTTTCAACAACTTCCACATCTCTTTCTACAACAGATTCCTAATTTGAGAAATTCCAGGTTCGTGTTCTTTTGCTACTTTACTATTTTGCATGTATTAGGAGGCTAATATTTGTCATAAAATTGTTAACCTTGTTTTATTACAGTGTAATCAAGAGTAATATTATGAAGGAAGAGACTAAATGTGCACAAATGACAATCTTTTATGATGGGAAAGTAGTTGTATTGGATGATATTCCAGCTGAAAAGGCCAAGGATATTATGGTCTTTTCTGCCAGCAACTATGTTCAAGAACATCCTAAAGTAGCATCCACGCCTGTTATTTATGGTAACTTTTTTAAGAGGGTGTGTTTGATTTGTGTCTTACGGTTTTGTGTGTTTATCATTCATGAATCTTGTTTTTATGTATTCAGACTTACCAATGACTAGGAAAGCTTCACTTCATCGGTTCTTGGAGAAAAGAAAGGATAGGTATAAGTTCAGATCTCTCTCAAGCAAATGAAAACAAATAATCATAACTTGAAAGTATTAAAATTGTTTGATGCTTGTTTATGTTTATGCAGAATTGCTGCAAGGGGACCATATCAAACAAGTAACCCAACACTGAGTCTTAATAAGCCAATTGATCAACATATGTCATGGCTTTCTCTCGCCCCACAATCACCGCAAGATTTCAAATCTGAGTGTTGCTCTACCTCTGTCTTACTTTAATTTTACTTTTGTTGTTGGATGGATTCCAATATTGTATGGAATTCTTCTACCACCCATGTCTTGTTTTTCTATGCACTATCACCTAGATGTGTGTTTCTCTATTTTTTGTAGGACTCATCCCATGCATTGCTCACTCACAAAAATATGTATCTACTATGTCTTGTGAATGTTGTGCCTCATGCTTATTATTAACATTATTAAGAGTGTAGTTCTCAACTTCTGATTGATATTAAAAATGTTGATTTAAACTTTTGCCGATCCTAATTCTTTCCATCACATAATTTCTGCTCTCATATCCTGTTCTCAAATTCAAGCACTTTACTTGAAATGACAAAAAATGTTCATCCGACCCAAACAAGCAACAAAAATATAATAAAGTGGAAAAAAATTAGGCAAAATACTATTTTTGATTCCGTATGTTAACGTCAAAGTTCATTTTGGTCTCTTAACTTTAAAAAAGTTCATATTAGTCACTTAACTCTTCAAAACGCTTCATTTTAGTTATTTTTTTCTAATTAACGGAAAAACTCAGAAATCGATCGCTAAATTCGTCAGTAATTAGACAAAAATGACTAAAATGAAGCGTTTTGAAGAATTAAGGGACCAATATGAATTTTTTTAAAGTCAAAGGATCAAAATGAACTTTGATATTAACATACGGAACCAAAAAAAGATATTTTGCCAAATAATTACATAAACCGTTTTAGTAACAGATTGGAAATACTATAAGCTTTGGAACCTACAACCACCAACCAACACATTGTTACAAATTTTCAATCTTGGCTGCTTTTATTGATTCTTTTGAGCAAGAAAGGAACAGGCTTTTTTAAAACTGTTACGTTAACGTTGTTCCAAGCATCAGATACGGTGGGGAGTGCAGCGATTTTCTCAGCAACATTCATGTCTTCTGGAAGAACAGAGCCGAAAACAGTGTATTCTTGTTTCCATTCTGAATGATCAGCTAAGCTAATAAAGAATTCTGGACCAGAACCAATCAAAGCAACTGAGCCTCTTTTTAAGAGTGGACAATCTTCTAAAGGAAGTTTATGGAATGGTGTGCCTTTTGCTTCTAATGTCCCTTGAATTAATGCATACGGGGGACCGAAACCAGCCTGTAAAATAACAAGTCATTTACTATCATCCAACACTAAATATGACACCGGCACGTAGACACTAATGATATAATCTGAGAAACTAAACAATTGAATGTAAACACACGTGTCAGTATCGCGTTGGTGACCAACGTGGTAAAATTGCATGGATAGTTGTAGAGTGATAAAGTGTATCTTACATTTTTTATATGGTTTCCTTCTGAATCCCATGATTGACCTCGGCTCTCTGCACGGTATAATTCACAGCCAGCACAATGGTGCAAAGGCAACAATTCTAGAATATAGGCAACCGTGTGTGGAGCACAGTCGGGGAAAAGCTGCATCGAATGAAGATTATCCAGCATTAGACATATTTTTAACTCATTACGGCAGAGTGATTGAAATATAAAGTAGTATGGTTCAATACATCACTATTATTTATTTAAATTCTGAGGTACTGCGTTATCATCTAGTGAATGTGCAAATAATAAAGCATTTAGTTTTTAATTATCTCAAAACCATGACCACTTACTTTGATATGAATAGTTCCGTATCCAGTTTCGAACCCAATAATACCCTGAAAAAAGATGAATTAGAAATAATATTGACAAATAACACTTTATGAGTTGAAAAAGTTCTAACGATACAAAATACATCATAATTTTACACTTTCAGCCTAAGTGTATGTAACATAGTCTTCTTAATTACATATTATCAGGCTACAAGTCATATAACATGATCCATATTTTACACTTTCAGAATTTGGGTTGAGCATAAGTTTAGACCATATTTCATCTAACGTGTGACTCTTAAAATACACATCACAAAGCAGCAACAAGGAAAAATTTAGTTAGAATTAGAATTTAGCCTAAATCATCTCTATAAAACTGGTCCGTAGGGTGAAGATTGCCCCTACTTATAAACACATTATCAGGTCAGATATTGTCCAATGTGGGACTCTTAACACACCCTCTCACACCAAAAACTGAACATTTGGAGCGTGAATATAAATGGTGGGTGGCCTGATAGCGCAACGAATCTTAAATCGGACTCTGATAAGTGATAACAGTGGCGGAAACTCAACTATGACGACGGTAAGGCATTAGGACAACCAAAGATAAAACAGCTTATGTGGGACATGTCATCAATAACTTGTGCCAACGATTCAACCTCGACGTTGGTTAGACGAAGGGACTACCAGAGACTATTGATTGTGTTGAAACCAATTACTAGAGAGCTTACCAGCTATCGTGACAACCAACGATAAAACGGTTTATATGAGACATGTCATTAATGTATGGTGTCAACGAATCAACCTTGACGTTGATTAGACGAAGGGACTACACCAAAGACTATTGATTGTGTGTTGAAACCAATGACTAGAGAGCTTACCATTAGAGATTAAATTGACAAGAGTGACTTGGACAAATCATCAACGAACACCTTGAAACTGATGCAAGACTTGACTTATGACCAGATAATCGACAAAGATGATGTTAATGGACAAAACTTGAATGGAAGAGATGTGCATAACCGGACCACAAAGTAATGCACACTAACAATACAGAAACAAAACACATCCCTACAAAACCGTTAGAGAACTCCACAATAAAACACATCCCTACAAAACCGTTAGAGAACTCCACAGTAGAACAGTTGAACAGAACCGTTGAGAGATGATTCAGACTAGAAGATTCAAGGAGGATCAAAACAAGCTCTAGATATATGTTGAATTAGAGTTTCGTCAAATTCATCCCTACAAAACCGGCTAGTAGGGTGAGGATTACTTCCACTTATAAACACATTATTAAACCATATATTGTCTGATGTGAGACTCTTAATATACGACTAACAACAGAAGAAACGTGTATTTTGGAGATAATTAACATCAGAGTCCATTGAAGACAAAACTTAATAACTTTCTTTCAGGTTCAGCATGCATTTTAAAGCCAGAATCGGAATGAGAATTCTAAATGGTGCGCCAGTAATTTGATATCGGCATATTTTTCTGAGGTGATAATTACCGGTCAATTCTATAAACAGTACTATATGATGAATCAAAATAACCAAATAATTTTACCTCCCCTTTTCCAAAAATGAGACCAGAAGTCCAAGTAATTTTCTCTACAGAATGATCTTCTTCTTGCCGTTCAGGGGCTAAGCTGTCCTTTTGTTTCTTCAACCAACACTGAAACAACAAAATCAAATGCCGAGACTTTTAAACTCAATTATTTAAAAAAAAAACTGAAATGACTGAATGTAATTATATGTGTGGATTCAAGTGATATACCTCACCGAATTTGGAGCCACAAGTCTCACGATTTCCACAAAACACCCAAGAATCGCATAAACAAGGTCCATCTTTCCCAGTACACATAGCTTTACAAGCATTGCAACATTCTTTAGAAGTATTGAATTTGAAATCAGAACCCCATTTCACAGCTGAACCCCAAAGCTCCAAATCTTCAATCCCTCTACAACACCCTCCACCTTTTTCACCAACTACCGCAAAAGACGACGTTGACCCAGTTCTAAACTCCGACACAGAAGAACCGCTTCTGGTTACAGCAGAGAAGAAAAGATAGGCCAAACCGCAAGAAACCAAAAACACAAAAAGAAGAATCAAACGGTTTACTAGAACCGTGTTCGGTTCAATGCTCTTGCGAGCCATTGAAGAGTTTGGATAAGGCGTTGACCCAAAAGAAAGGTGAAGAGTCAGTTAGTTGACTAATTGTTGAATTTTTTTGGGGATAAAGATAGAGAAGAGGAAATTCAATAGACAATAGTACAGAATTAGATGAAGAAAGCGGAATGAATGATTCAGAGAGACAGAGTCATACAATTGTGTCGTTTGACTATGTTTCTGATACAAAAACTTTGATGCGTTTAGGTTGTTTGATTTGATTTAGAATTTGGAATTATATTTTATTTCTGCTACTAACTTTTTTTTATAATAAAATTTAGGTGTGTCAATAATTGAGTTCAATAATTAATCAAAGAAATTTTTTTTAAGTAAGTTATATTGAAAAAAGTATTAGGGGTATTCAAAAACCAATTACTAAAATGAGAAAGATTTCAAAAGGTGGAGAAATTTCTATGCAAATGCAACTTAAGTTAGATAAAGTAAAAGAGTTTTGCTAAAATCATAAAAATTACAATTGGGAAAAGAAATATGATATATTAAAGACCAATTTTAATATTTCAAACAATGTCGGACACACAATAACCAATGTTGTTAAAAACAATTGAATTCCTAACCTTCCATATTGTTCAAGTAACCGCCAACTAGTGTTTACAGTGATTTCTAGTAAACAACCGTTAGTCTTCCAATTTACTAATTATTATTGGTTACTTGCAGGATCGACTAGATTGATCCTAGAACACATGTGTCATAACTTATTTCCATGTTCATATCTATTATATTGATAGACTTATATTGTATGTTAAGTTCGAATACGAGATTCTTATGAAAGATTTCTAAAATGGTCTATAGGAATAAACTAACTGAATGTAGGCAGGAAAGGCTTCGAATTAGACTTGGGCTTGAATGTAAAGATAAATGTTTGACTAAAAGGATAAAGTAGAAGTAAAGTTTCTAACGAAGTGACTATGTTTAAAGGCAAGTAAAACAAAGAAATGCAAGGAAATCGAAGGTTTTAAAGGGCAGAAATGCTGTAAAGCTTCTAACGAAGTGACTGTGTTTAAAGGCAAGTAAAACAAAGAAATGCAAGGCAATCGAAGGATTTAAAGGCAACAAAGTGACTGTAATGCAAGGAAATCGAAGGATTTAAAGGGCAAGGATATACTGTAATGGCGAACTAAATATAACAAGACTTGTATTGAAATTGTAAAAAAGTAATGATGTTTAAGACGTACATTGTATCTTCTGACTCGTTTTCCTTAATTCACGGAAGTTTGAGTATTTTGAGATCTTTTAGTACATAAAAGTGAACATTCCTAAATCTAACAAAAGAACACCTATTTATAGTGTCTTGACCCTAACGGCCCTATTCTAAAATCACGCCACGTTCGAAGCATGCAGGCTTCCTATGTTTGCTGACTTCCACGCGTCTTCTAGAATGACGCTCTTTATTTGAAATTCGAAATTTGTACCAATCGAAGCATCTTGCGAAATCTGCACCAATCGAAGCATCTTGTTTCTTCGTTGCTTTCGAAATAACCCAAATACCTGAACCGTTTCCAACTTCTGGCACCCTTGCATAAAGGAGCTCTTTTATAATTCGAACACCAAAACAAGTCCAAATCGAAATCTGTTGGAAAATGAATAATCATTCAACATAATGACTCCATATCTCCCACCAATATCCAATATTGATATTAATCTCCTTAGGCACTTTATTCGAAATATTATTTTGATAGTGGTTTCTTCCTTATTCGAAATAGCCAGCTAACAAATTGCCCCCCAAGAACATGTATTTCGACAGATATAAAGAAATACTTGTTTTTGACTCATCCAGGCTATTTCGAGAGTATCAAAAACTCATGATGACTTTGTTAATGCTTTTTATTGTAAATGATTGAACACAACCATTTTGGCACTTATATAATACCATTTTGGCTTCATGTTTATATATATTTTTATTATCCTGCAGTGATTCTAACCTCTTGCAAGCATGGTTTATACCTTTTTAAGTATTTCCCATTTACCCTCAAGATTCTTCTATCTTCTGCTAATTCTTCTATTTCGTAAGCATTATTCGAAAATGTTTTCAATACTCGAAAGGGACCCTCCCAATGGGGTGACCATTTACCTAATAATCTGTTCTTTTTATCCATAGGTAATATAACCTTCCATACCAGGTCATTGGTTGAGAACAACTTACTTTTAACTCTTTTGTTGTATACTCTGGCTACTCTTTCTTTCTGTCTTCTCATAACTTCTAAAGCATGTAGCCTATCTTCATCCACGTCCACTAATTCATTCATCATCATTTCCCAATATTGAGCAGTTGGTATTTCATTTTTTTCTTTGGATTCTTACTGATTGTAAGTGTATTTCGACTGGCAACACTGCATCATGTCCAAAGGTAAGTCGAAACGGAGTAGTATTTGTTGCTTCTTTAGGAGATGTTCGACATGCCTACAAAGCTTGGTCCAAAGTTTTGTGCCAATTTCTTGGCTTTCGTCCTACATGTTTCTTTATCAAACCTATTATGACTTTATTGGCTGCTTCTACTTGTCCATTAGCTTGAGCATAGTAAGGAGTTGACGTGAGTAATTTAAATCTCATTTCTTTTGCAAACTCTTGCATTTTTCGCCCTGTGAAAACTGAACCTTGATCTGTTGTAATACTTTCTGGTATTCCGAACTTGTAAATTATTTGCCTCTGGATAAATTCCATAATGACCTCTTGATCAACGTTCACTAGAGGAATCGCTTCGACCTATTTTGTAAAATAATCTATACCCACAGGGATATATTTCAGTCCTCTGGATGATGTTGGTCGAATTTCACCAATTAGATCTAATGCCCATCCTCTAAAAGGCCAAGGCTTAACAATTGAATGTAACTCACTTGCAGGAGCATGTTGAATACCTGCATGAACTTGGCATTGTTCGTAACCTTTAGCAAATTCTATGCAGTCTTTGAGCATAATGGGCCAATACATTCCATATCGAAACAACAACCATTTCATTTTGTGACATGCTTGATGTGCCCCACATGCCCCACTGTGCACACTGGATACTGCTAAATATGCTTCATTTTCTCCTAAACACTTGAGTAATATACCTTCTGGGGTTTTCTTAAAAAGTTCATTTCCTATTAGGACATAAGACAATACCCTATATTTGGTCTTTTTCTCTGTACTTACTGAAGGTTCTTTCAGGTAATTTACTATGGGACTTCTCCAATCTGTATCTTCCAAAGTATCAATATTTAGAACTTCGAATTCTTTCTGATCTGCAAAACCTAGTTTCGAAGTTTCCAAGTCTAATGGTGATAATTTGGTAGCCAATATTCTGCCTCTTGTTTCTATGAGATATTGGAGTTTTTCTCTAGATATCTTATATCCTGAAGCTATTTAAGCCAAGTCATTTGCCTCCTGATTATCAATTCAAGGAATATGTTTTATATCCATATATTCAAATTTTTTGAGTAATCTGTTAGCAATAATGAAGTACATGATCAAATTTTCCTTGATACATTTGTATTCTTTGGTTATCTGTTTGATGACCAGCTCTGAGTCTACCCTAATTTCGATTCTGGTTGCCCCCAATTCTAACAAAGCTTCAAGTCCAGCAATTAACGCTTCATACTCAGCCTCGTTGTTCGAACAAGGAGGGCCTTCTAACTTGTACTTGAATTTCGTTGGAATTCCCTCAGGAGAAATTATAAGGACTCCAACACCACTTCCAAATTTATGTGTTGACCAATCGAAGGATAATTTCCAAGGCTGGATCTCAACATAATCTAACGCGAAGTCCTCACTCACAAAGTGATCCACTATGAAATCTGAAACCACTTGTCCTTTCATATCTTTTAAAGGCTTGAAGGTCAAATTGTACTCAGTGAGCGCTAAGGCCCATTTGCCAATCCTGTTGTGCATGATTGGTTTTGAAAGCATGTGTTTAATAACATCAAAGTGAGATGAAACATAAACATCAATTGGTTTAATATAATATTTAAGTTTTATACAAGATAAATACAGACAGAGTCATATTTTTTCAATGCTACTATACTTAGCCTCTGCTTTATTTAGGACCCTACTAAGATAATAGATGGCTCTTTCGACGCCATCATCATTTTCTTGGGCCAACATACTACCTATAGTTACATTGGAGGCAGAGATGTACAACCTCATTAGTTTATCTTTCGAAGGGGGTGCAAGTATAGGAGGATGCATCAAATAAGCTTTGATTTTCTCGAATGCCTCCTGATGTTGCGCAGTCCATTCAAAATTCCCTTGGTTGAGACGGAGGAGTGGAGAGAAAGCTTGAGTTCGCCCACTCAAATTGGATATGAATCTCCTTAAAAATTTAATTTTACCCAATAGAGATTGCAACTCTCTCTTGGTTGAAGGAGGCTTCGTCTCCATAATAGCCTTCGTCTTGTTCAATTTAATTTCGATCCCCTTCTTGTGGACCACAAAGCCTAGGAAATCCCCAGCCTGAACAAAGAAAGCACATTTAAGAGGATTCATTTTTAAGCCATGTTTTCTCATTCTTTCAAATGACTGGTGTTGTACTCCAAAATTTACCCTCCCATATTCTTCAAGATTTGTCAAGGTCAATCTCCAAATGGTTCAAAATCTCTCAAGGGTTGCACAGTCCAATTGCCTCCTAACACAGTCAAAATTAGGGTTTTGGTTCTTGCAAAGAAATTGAGGTTTTCAAGGGTCCAATCAAGTCCCATATGCCTATATACATTGTCAAGCATCTATATGTCAAGTTTCAAGAGTCACAGCATCAAGTTGCACAGTCAAAAGCCCTTAATGCTTCACAGTCAACTGCAGGGGCAAAATGGTCATTTGACAGTCAAAAGTCAAATTTTTTGGTCAACATCTTATTTTGAAGCCACAATCATCATTTGATCAATTCTTGATCATGATTCCACAAGCATGGCTCACAAAGTCTCAAGATGTCAAAAGTTTCTATTTTTGGACAGTTGAAAAGTCAACTGTAACTTGACCAAGGCATAACTTTTTCATGG